ACACACACACACACACACACACACACACACACACACACACACACAGTCTTGACTTTGATACGTCAAGGTTAACCCACAGTGAACAACTATGCGGCCCGGTCTGTCTGTCTGCTGTTGCATCTGGGCAAAGATAACAAACTGGCGTCTTTTGTCGACACTTGTCGTGTGGCTCTCTATCATGCAAATCCGTAGTAAAGAAACGCTGATAGAGTTACACAGTCAAATCACCTTCACCTTAAATGTAAAACACAAGCTGTGTGCCATTTCCTCTCCGACGTGTCCGTGCAGTTTATTCATTATGTATGATATACAGCATGTGGTAAGCTTTCCACAACTTTATCTCTCCATCAGTCCACTACACCACAATGAAAATGACAATCAACGTCGACTTCAAGCGCAGACACAAACGCGTCCAAATGGAAACATTTACTGTCATTATGCCCCCACTGGCACAACAGCTGACATTACTGAGAAGTGAGTGCGTGTCTGAATCACTCAAGTGCAGTGTGGATGTTGATATCTCGGAACTATATACTGTGGTGAATTTAAGACAATGTACCCAAAGTGAGAAGAATGTGCAATTACACTGGACCATTTAGTTTTTCCATTCTTCTACCGAGTCTCCATATGGAGGGAATCCATTTGCCAAGTTAGTTTGGTGACTGCAACACTGAGAGGAATGTGAGTTATGTGTGTTTATGGCGGTTCCTCCTATATTACTCAACTCTGGAGACCAAGATGAAGTAGATGGACCGTAGAAAATCCAAATTGCAGAATATATTTTCAGTCTCATATAGATCCAACGACCACTTTTAAAGCAGACAAGTATACAATTACGTTGTACAAGGTTTTGTGGGAGAACTGGTAGTATGACTGAGTCTGAGAGGGCTAGACAGGCCTCAGTCATTAGTCTGGTTTCTACTTCAGGAATGTGTCTTTTTCCTCCTGTTGCCTGAGCTGACATTTCAAGTAATGTTTTGATCACTAGCTATAAACAGCTGGTCAATCGGGTTTTGAAAGATAATACAAACATGAACCTATCAAGTGCATCTATAAAGTACAACTGCCAACAGGTACAACTACATTATTTCAACTCTTGATGGAACAATGCTCAATACCTGCCATGACGACTAAAGATGCTTCTAGTGAATTAGGGCACTGTTGCAACACTCAGATATTCCTGTTACATCACAGCCCTGCTTCTATTAACTCTGTTTAAAATGAATAAAAGACATTAGGCTTTAGGCCTAGCTCAAAGCCAGTGGTGCTGTGGTGTCTCCTTGGCATGCAGTAAAAGCAAAGATCTTACTGAATTCTGGTTTTCTCCCACTAGTTTAAGTCTTGGCCGACTGTATTCTCAGCATAACCACTGTGGGTTTGGAAGGCCGCTACTGTAAGCTGAGGCACTTTGTCTGAGACAGACGGAAAGCCAAATATTTTCTTTGTTGCTGTTTTGTTAGTGGTAGAGCTGGAGTAGTGTTTAACATTATCACATCAGTCTCCCATTAGTTCCTCATGTACTCCTGTTAAAGGCTGACCGATCAAGACACACACTATCACTTCACTCATCTAATTACATTAAAAAGTAGTTTAGCCCTTTAAAAAGGTTCAACAATTCTAAATATGGCTACGCTCATGGTACTAACTCATGTGCAAACTGACCATAAAGTGTAAATATTGTAAACTACTTTCAACTAACCACACAAAGACTGAGAAACATATTTAATATTCAACTACAAGCCATTGTCATTACTCAATCAGCTTGAGGCACACGTCCCTGTTGATGTAAAAGTCATTTCAGGGATGGAGGGGGTGGACACACGCAGCACACACGCACAACGCAGACACATCCTGGCATGAGACGTCAACTTGTGGTGAGCAGAGAGGTTATTAGTGCTGAACTGAACACATTCCCGGTGTTAGTGCCATAACTGGTGCAACTATGTGAATGGCAAGCCTTTGATTGCTACTTCCTCTTTCTGTTCAACCACAGACAAACACAAAGGTTCCTTAAAGGTCAAAGAGCAGCCGACTGGTGCCTGTGACGCATAGTCTAGACTGAATATTTTGGATTCACGCCCTAAAGATGACTAAGCGATAATACACTGTAGATGTCTGTTAATTGAACTAACAAATGGTAATGCATTTTACCAGTCAATTTAGGTAAGACTCATCACTAGGTAATTAGCTCATCCACACAACAGCCAGCAGGTAGGAGAAGCTCTGATATGTGTGGGAACGAAAAGGAGACTCCTTCAAAGTGATCAACACAGACAAATCATGTGATCATACACTATATACTGCACATATTCAGTAGATGAATGGTCACAATGTTTCCGTTTATCATTTATTATCTATTATTTATCAAAACGTTTTAGGTTAAAAACAGTGAATCGAGCTGAAATCTTACTGATAATCTATAATTGTTTTTTCCAAATTCAACTTGCCATGAATTCAGGGACTAAGCCAAGATGAATTTGTTGGGGGCCCACAGTCTACACACATGTATGTATGTGTGTGTGTGTGTGCACGGAAATGAGATTAGCTTCTTCAGCTTTCACATGACCAATGATTCCATTTCATTAGGTTGCAGTCACAGGCTGTTCCTTAGCAAGGCCAGGGTCTGAGGTCAGAAAAACACCCTCACAAGACACGTATCAACACATCACATATACACAAGTCCCTCTTCATTTATGCAGTCTTGAACTTGATTCAAATATTTGTGTGTATTTCTGTGATACAGAGGTCACAGAGTTTACAAACGTTTTGGGTGAAACGGGTGCAGGTAGGTTTAGTGAGGGGGGAGACATCTTTTCTTTCTCAACTGTCATGTGGGAAAGATCAAAGTCTTAGTTATGTAGCACGCCTTGATTTCTTGTTCAACTTCCTTTTTAAGAACACTTCACAGACACTCGAGGTGCTTAACAACAGAAAATGAATAATAGGAGCCATAAAAAAAACTAATGAGAGGAGGTAGACGAGGCAGCAGTAAAAAGGATGGGCCGTGGATTTCTTTACCCTGAAGTAAAAACCTATAGGGGACCTCAGCTTCACAAACCATACATCTATACATATGTGCTAATACGGAGTAGCAATGACCAACTGTAAACGATAGCCGTCATATGAAATAATTAGCAGCATCCACACATATTACATCTTTTTTTTAAAACTCAATATCTGGTTGCTTCTTCACAATGCAACCAATATGCTTGGTTATGCATTATAAAGTAAAAACGGACAGTGTGTCTATTCCACAAACTGACTTACCCAGATTATCAGCTGCAGTGCAGCATAAGGAGGCGGATGGCATCAGAAGCACAGGGGACAGGCAGAGGGGAAAAAGATCCAAGTCAACGGAGAGAGTGCCAGCACTTAACACTAATGCATCACCTAAAGGTGCAGTCTCATGCATCGAGCTGCCAAAACAATGCACCGATATCTTTTTAAAGCAATACCAATATCAAGTCTTTCCCACCCAGTGTCAGATGATACCGATAGATATAGAAATAAAAATAGTGGACACGTTTCCTAAATTTAAGACAAAAAGCAGAGGAGCCTGACAACAATCCTAGTGATGTAGAGTATTGTAGGAAAATGACACGTGTCAGTTTAGAGTGACACGGGCAGTTTAGAGTTAAATCTACTGCATAGTAGGAATAAGAAGAACCATTGGTCTTTTCTGTGTTTTTTAAGATACAGGTTTCTTGTACTTTTTGCTGTTGACTTTAGGAATGTGAGACATCCCCGTGAATCATACCTAAATGATCAACATCTCAAACATACTGGAAGCATAATTCTCTAATTCCTTATTTGTGTATAGTATGTGTGTGAATGTATACGAGGAACCGGAGCCAAGAGAACTGCAGAAAGAAAAAGGCCCTTCCCTCTCTGAGTGCTTACCAAGTAAGGTAATGTTTAGCCTTACTAGAGCTGCACAAGTCTGATCACTAACGTCTTCTATACACATCACTGCTGTCTAACGGAAAAACTCAGAACTACAATTTGGGCATTTCCCCTTTTCCTATTCGAGCATATTATGCTATTTAAGAGTAATAGACTGTAGTTTCATTCTTTCTGAATAAGTTGCAAACTAGTAGAGGATAACTAAAGTAACACATTCTCTGACATACGAGCCTCGTCTCATTCTCAGGGCGTCACATCCCTCACCGTCTGATGCCATCGGATAGTTTCAGATTGTTGATACAAGATCTGTCTCCCTAATTATTAGATCACTTGCACTTAGCAGTGTTATTTTTGTTAATTCAAATAAGCAGAAACAAAATATGCTTTTTTTTCTTCTCTTTTTACCTTTCTTGGCTTTCTTCTGAAGTTTCAGTGTGTCCGAGGACTTCTTCTTAATTTCCTGCCGGGCTCTTTTATACTCTGGTTCAGATGGACATGGTGAAAAATTTAACTGTGTGAAAACTCAGTGTCAAGGTACAATTTCCCATACTCTTGTTATATACTGTGGGACAGAAGCATGAACAAGACCGGTATGATAACCTCCATGTCAAACTATGTTTTTACCTTTGCTGTAAATGTTGAACATGCATCCTCATGTCACAGTAATTTGTGGATCAGCATGTTATGTTACTTTCCTGTGTGGTTACATTTGTTTGTCCTACCTTTAGCATGGTCCTTGTCCAAAGTGTTGACTCCTCTTTTCCACTCCTCCACCTGGTCTTGTAGAGGGTTGATCAGACCCTCCAGGAAGGCCCTGTGAAAACACCAGGATACTTACTTCTGATCTGAGGTCAGCTTGACCAGTGAAACAATTCAAGACTATTTAAGACTAACCGTTTAAAATGGTGAAATGTGTCCCAATTTAAATTCATCTAAAACATGAAGTGCTTGGGTTTACAGTTTTCATAAATGATGTTTATCCCAAATACGTTTTTATTGACCAATCAAAGAGCCTAACAACCTATTTATAAGATGTAAAATAGCAAATGTGTCAGTATATCTGCCACCTGATTGTAAAGTGGCAAAGAGAACGCCAGAGTTAAAAACCCATTAGGTCTGGTTTGCCTCTCTGTCTATACACTGTATGGTCCCGTCTGTCAATCATTAACAGGCAGAAAGAAAGGGGAGAAAAACAGACCCGAGAGGATATAATGATATAAAGTCTGCTTACGTCTGACTGTGTGTCACAGGAGGAAGTAAGAAACTTGTGCAGTCACGTCTGTCGATCATTGCCCACTGTGTTCGTTGTGTATTTGAGATGTATTTGTGAGTGTGTGGAAGAGGCTGTGAGTGTGAGAGGTAGGCAGCTGCAGGCTTACTGCATGAAACTAAAATTAGACTTCTGCCTCTTGCAGACATTTCTCCAAAGTGCGCGTGTGTTAGTGGGTGGTGACCATGCCCCATGCCCCCCCCCCCCCATGTACAGCCCCTGCTATGGAGATCCAAGTGGAATCTTTACTGAAATGCCAACCGAAATTAGAGAGACCCTTGTGTAGTGTGAGTGAGGGAGAGAGAGAGAGAGAGATGTATAGTGTGTGTGTGTGTGTGTGTGTGACTACACTGAAACATTACAGATGCTTGTGTTGCCAGACAAATCGTCTCTTGATCAGCATTCCACTACAAGGGGCATTCTCACCCACACACACACACAAAATGTCAAGACGTGGAACATGTGGCGAGATAGGAATTTGAATGCAGACCATTATATTGGAGTTGCACTGTTCGGGGAACAGTTTAAGTAGAAGTAAACTAACTGCTACTAATATAGGAAACACAGCAAAATGAAATAACCACAACAGAGGGCTGGGCGATAAAAAGAAAATCCAATATCACAATATGTTTGACCAAATACCTCAATTTCGTTGACCATTGGTGCTTTCACATAAATACTTACACAATGATCAGTAATGTGGGTAATCATCTGGTAAGTTCACAAAATGACATCACTTTACTGTAATCCTGTCTTGAAAAACGACACTTATCCCATATTACGAAATCCAAAATTCACATTATATAAGCAAATGTTGCATCACTTGAAAGTGGAAGTGTTTTAACGTGTGTCGAGGGAAAGTTTACCAGACATAGTGAAGTTCCTGTTAATATTCCACTTTCAGCTCAATAAAACCACCGTGATGGAGCTTATTGACGCAGTAACCCAAATTAAATCCCAGCTCTCATCAAAACCCTCTTACATCCCAGCCAATTCACCAACATTGCACAAGGGATGTATTAGATCAGATCCTGTAGACTGGTAAATGTCATTAGTGTTGTGCTGTGCAGCTGAGGAGAGAGGAATAAAGGGTAAAAGAGCAATACAGCAATACAGTATGTGTAATGTTGCTTACATGGAGAAGTGTTTGAGCTTAGCCTCTATGCTGCGATGTCTCATACACATCCTGGTCAATGCTGATCCAATGTCTTTGGTCCCGCCTGAAAGACATAAAAAATACAAAAAAAAACACCATTTAATTTACATGAATTCCTTTAAGTGACACCGATTTCCATGAGAGTAAAAATAAACAGAGAGATCCAAGTGTATCACATCAGCTTTAGACACAAAGTCTGTGTTTGGGATTAATTGTCAGAATTGAACCACCATCAAAAAGTTTCACATTTGCAACAAACTTTACATTTTTTTTAGGGCTGCAGCCAAATCATTTAGCAGAACCTTTAAGTATATAAGTAACTGGAGAAAATGGTTTAGCACAGCGCTAAAATACAAACATTGGGATATTGAAATATGAATAATGATAAAATATACATTTTTTACAATGTGAAAAAGATGCAACTGAACTCCTTCTGCCTCTTGTAGGTTGCCATTCATCTAAAAATAGAATGTAAAGCAGTTTGGTAATTACATTGAAGTACAGTATGCAGAAGTTTAATGCTGTTAATTCATCAACTTCATACTAGACAGAGAGTGACTTCTTGCACTGATTGACTTATTGACCCCACTCTCTCCACTGTGGTAATGAGTGGGACACACAGAGTTACCAACTGCACACACATGCAGGTCAAGAGAAGTGATGGGAAGTTGGAGTTGGAGCTGGAGCCTTGTACATGTGCTTGAGGCTGGTGTCGGTTTCCTTCACACAGGCTAACTAGCTGTCCACTGGAAGGCCTCAGGCTCTACAGCTAAGCAGGATCTGACGTTGATTGACAGAACTATTGTCTGGCTGCTCAGTATGACTAGTCTGTTTCTCTGTGGGGTTGAAGCACTACTGTGTGTGTGTGTGTGTGTGTGTGAGAGAGACATGGTGGGGGCACAGATATCTTGTATGAAACTGTGTGGAGTTCTTGCAACATTCTGTTCAGTGTATCAGAAGCAGAGTGAAACTCTCTCTGTGTGTGTGTGTGTGTGTGTGTGTGTGTGTGTGTGTGAGAGACAGTTTGGTTGTGATGATCTGATGTGAAGTGTGAATTCCCTCCAACAGAGCAAGCCATTCTGCTGTCAGCGCAGTCCTTGCTGCACGCAGAGACACACACACAGAGCTGTCACTCACTCACACTCACATTTACAACACACACAAAATTGTCTTTTACTTCGTCAGAATACGGACAAAACAAATGCGAGAGGCTGCTGGATTGGCCTACAACCCTCATGGAGATTTGGATGGTACAAAAGAAAAGGAAAAAAATCCTCTAAACAGGGAATTCTATTAGAACAGGAGGAAAATAGTCATTTGAAGAAAACGTGATCATCATGCTGGTGAAAAAACAATATATTTCTGAAAATATGTGCACCAGGACAATTGTATTGCAGACTAATCTAATCTAACATCTAATATTGGTGTGAGATTTTTGAAGCTACCTTGGGTGAACAGTGTATCTTAGGCTGAGGGGGAAAGATGGGTGCAAAGTTTAGAGCATATGTTCCGAATTAGTGCTGAATGTCTAAATTCCACAGGCTCTTGTGTGAAGGAAAGTTTAGAGGATAAAGCATTTTCATGTGCGTTTGTCTGTCGTATACAAGATATATATTAGATATTTGGAGTCAAGTGTCGTGGAATTGGCACTATAAGACAAGTTTTGTGTTGAATCTCCTCTGCTTTTGTCTCTTTGGCTAAGCTCTCCATGTCTGCCAGACTGAACCAAATTCATCAGGGCGAAAATAAACAAGTATCTCCCCGTGTCTCTACTCCAGAACTAAACCAGAGGAACAGCATCTGTAGTTTTGGGTCTCCATCACTGTGTGATTATAAACTGGTTTCCAGACAATCTGCATCTGTCCTGCTCTTCTAAAAGAGCAGAATTAGCTCAGTGTGCTTTTGACTGCTAAGTGAGAAGGAGGCCGAGACCAACTGTAACACAGACTTAAGTGATTCTAGATGGCAAATTTCAACTTTCTCAACCATGTTACCAAGACATAATTTAACTCCGTCCCATTGAGCCCATTATGTCCTCAACATTTTTCCTCTATCCATTCATTCATTCCTGGTTTTTCTTTTCACCCCACATGCTTGTTATTGCAGAGGGTGTGGCTACTACATGGCATAACAGACCTTCCTGTTATACAGCACCATAATGTTCATTCATTCCTGCGTTGACTTGTTTAGTCATCCTATCCATCCATCCATCCGCCCATCTCACCCTTACTATGACTGCTTGTTATTCTAGAGGGTGTGGCGGAGAGATGCCACAGTGCCACAAAGAGGCCACACGGCAGCCGAAAGGAGGAGGATTTAGTGCCGGCAAACGTTTTTCATTAAGAAGTTACTGGAGAGTTGTAGCCCACTCTGTCGAGAAAAGAGTTTGGTTTCAGGTGATTATTCATTTGTCCCACTCACACTCCTGGATTTGATACGAGGCGTATAAGAGAACCAACATGTGCTCTTGGCTATACGCACAGGTGTGCCGTTATGATAGATGGAACTCTAGCTCACACAAGTCAGATTTTATGAGATTATTGAAATAGCTCCATTTCCATTTGAATAGAGTTCCACTAAATAGTGCATTTCCTTTCAAGGGATCAGCTTTATAGACGTTAGCACTGCTCAAGACGTGGTGACGGCATAAGAACTCCTCCCATGCCATGAGCATAAACGGGCAGACATTTCAGGTAACTGAGGCTTGAAACTAAAACTGTTTACACAATAGGGACATGATAATCATGAGAAAAGTCTGTTGTTGAACTTAAAAAAATTCAGCAATACCACATACTCCATGTGTGAAAGAGACTTGTGCGTCTCACAGCAGGTAGCTAGTCCATGTGGCCTCTGCCATGACTACCAGTCACTGTGGAAACATGTAGGATTGTGTGTCGTGTGTGTCCACAGCACTGCAGCGTGTGGTCGGACTAAGTCAATATTTTTGTCAGCAACTTATGCCGGTATGAATTAGTGAAGTTGTTTTGTGCGTATGACAGAGATTTGTCTGACGTAAATTTTGTGATTATCTTATATGTGATTTTGCATATTTTGCCACATTGTGATGGTGATATAGTGAAAATTATTATTGTTATTATGATATTGATTTCAACCATTTCTAAACGAGCTCAGACATCACATGTGGTCAGAGGAAGTGTTGAAGGTTTGGGTGCAGTTTGCCCTGTTTGTGGAAAGTTGTTCTGTTGCTTTCAGGGTAAAGTGGCTGCTAACACACATCGTCTAGTGCCGACTGACCCCTGGATAGAAATAGTTCCATTGGCAGGTCCAGTTCTACACACACATGAACGTGTGCATGTGTGTGTGTGTAGCATAGCTGGCTGTTGACATGGTTGTTTCAGAGGCTTGTAATTATCCCTCAACCACAAACACTTAAATAGTAGAGAACAGACACATACACTTATAGACTATAAGCTGGACTCTTTGGTGCATCTGTGTACAAGCGATGCTAAACTGATGTCTTTTTTTTTTTTTATTAAAACCCAGTGAGCAAGTAGACAGCACTAGCAACTTTGACAAAAAAAAAAAAAAAGAAATGCAAATTTGGCCACAGAATGAATGTTTGGCTAACGTTTCAAAAACCACGCTCCACAGTAGAGAGAATATACGGGAGGCTATAATGTCAACAGATTGTCTCACAGCTGTTTATTAATTCTCTCTGTGTCAGGTTGTGATACTAATACTTGTAAGAAACCACTACTTCATACAACCCTAACAAAGCTTTGTCTCTTGGTCTGTGACATTTCAACTTTCTGTGTGGAAACTTTTGTCTCAATGGCCTGGGGACATTTGTGACAGAGGTGATAGTTTTCTGTCTGTCTGTGTGTGTGTGTGTGTGTGTGTGTGTGTGTGTGTGTGTGTGTGTGT